TATGATGAAGATCACCGTGGCTACCGCGAGGACGATCAGAAATTCTGTCAAGTTGGGAACAGCTGATTCCGTACGTCCAGAATCCCAGCGTATAGTGAGGACTGAGTCCGATGGCGGATTACAATGAAGCCGTGAGCGCTCGATCGCGTCGCCGCTCTTGTGAACTAAGTCATCGACACAGGAAATGACCTTTATCTCCGGAGTTGAGGCTTCTGATCCTGACATTAAGTAACAACGTTCTATCCGTATCTCGAAAATCTTCTCCTGTTCAAGCTTCAATGGCAGCGACCGAGAGCGGTCTCGATGTTTCATCGGCGCTGAATTCCTGCGTTCGCCATTCGCACAATTCGTACATTCGCGTTTTTCGAGAGATCAGCGACTAGTCCCGGCCATTCGCTAGGGATCGGTGACCCCCATTTGATGAGGTGATCATCGAGAGAGAATCCGCCTCGTGCACAGAAAACGAGTGATCGCTTTCACTCGATACTGGCTTCGTGCGTGAGAATATGATCTCCTGACCGGGCCTGTGTTGTATTTTCGGTCACCATACAACAAGAACTGTCATTTACCGTCCCCCTGACGAAAGATCCATAATATATGATACGTCACCTGTTCGCAGACACGTCTTGAACTGGCGGTTCATCGAATTCGATCATGCACAGAATTCAACCGTTGTGGTGGGGAGTGCCGCGAAAAGCCTTGTCGGCTCGTCGATCGCGGACGAACCGAGGACTCGCTACCCCCAGCAAAAATCTCAAGAGACGAAGCGAGCTGAGCCGCTCGAGGAATGCTCTGTAGAGAAACTTGCGAGCTACCCGTTAGTTCCAGCATGACATGATGTGAGACTTTAGGGCTGATAAAAGACTTTAGGGCGCAGAACTGTCCGCGACTCATCAGACCATCGAAACCAAAAACTCGTCCACTGTTCTGCATCTAATTCCCTCACGCACGGGATAGATCAGATGGATTCGAGGACCTGTCTCATTTTTCCATGAACAGTTCCGGAGCCTGTACGGAATATGAATCGGATCCGAAACGTGTGTGAGAAGCGGCCGCTGAAAGCCCGAAAATTTCGATCCGAAGCGAAGTCTTCTCTTCAAGCCACGCAACTCATTCAGGCCGAGGCTCGTCCTGTGCTGAGCTCCTTTATCCTGGCTCGCATCACTCGCCGAAAGTCTCGACTTCGGCCGTATTCCGTGCAATGCGATCGCGCAAAATCTGGGGTCTATGTTTTTTTCCGGAAGCTGTCGCCCTCCAAGAAGGTACCCGGGACTTGCACCTCCTGTGCGGTGGCGCCCGAACGATGTTCCGAATCTTGCAAAAAAACTTATTTTGCCTTTGTTCACGACGCCGCGCCATCGAAGGGGCTTCCACTTGGACCTTGACGGCTTTATTCTGGAGGAGACACTCAGGAGCACGAAGAAATTCATACAGCCACCGAGATCGAGCAACGAGAATCCCTCTCCGGATGCTAGACGAATGCTGAGGCTTTCAGTCCGGGATAATGGAATACCTAGCCTCGATTTCATTTCCGACTCCCGATAGCTCTGATCTGCTGGAGTGCTAGAGTCTTCCCGCTCCGCCTTGACTCTCATGATTCACTGGGGAAGTTTCCCGTACACGTACACCTCCCTCAAGCGCTCAAAGGCCGCTAGCATTGCGAATTCCGTCTCGGAGTCTTCAGCTGCACGAATCCCCAGAATCGCTCTGTGTCTAATACGTAGTATTGTGGAGGCATCTGAGGCGCGCCATCATATTATAGCGATATTCTGTGACATTAGTAAGGCTTTTGACTCTGTGAATCACGACAGGCTGCTGATGAAACTCGAGAGACTCGGATTCCGAGGTGCTGCGCTCAACCTCCTCCGGTCTTATCTCTCAAATCGAGAGCAGGTGTATCGTTCGGACGTATTGGCTAGTCAGCCTTGTGGGGTGTCGTGCGGCGTCCCTCAAGGTAGCGTACTCGGTCCTCTTCTGTTCTCGCTGTATATAAACGATTTGATCGCAGAGACTGGGGAGACGAAGATTGTATCCTTTGCAGATGATACTACTATACTGGTCAGTCATGAGAACTTCGATGTCGCCTGTCTTACGGCCTCGTACCATGTCAGTGAGATATTTCGTAGAATGCGGGTGAATGGTCTGATTCCAAACAGTACCAAGACTAAGCTAATGTACTTCGGTAATAGTCACCGGGATCCTAGCATAAAGGTTCACACAGTTCACTGTCAAAATCGAGATCTCTGTGACTGTGGGACTCTTGAGAGTGTCCCCTCCCACAGATTTCTGGGGATCAGACTGGATATAGATATGAGGTTCAGATCCCACGTCGATCATGTGTGCGCTCGTCTGAGGAGCGGCATCGCTGTCCTGGCCAGACTCCGAAATATTTGCTCTTTCGCACTGAGGAGGGCAGCTTACTTCAGCCTAATAGAGTCTCATATCCGCTATATGATCGCAATTTACGGAAGCGCTGCAGACTACCTCATCGACAGAATTTTCGTCTTGCAAAAAAGAGCTGTGCGCTTTGCGTTAAATGCCTCGCGCACCTCTCAGTCGGCCTCCCTCCTGTCGAGGATGAATGCCCTCGGGTTCCGAAACCTATACGCCTACAATCTCATGTTGATTTTGAACCCGGAACTACGACTTATGGTGCGACCAGAGCATTGTTACTCAACTCGTTATCGGGAGGCCGGCTGCTTAAGCTCAACGAATTATAAGAAAACGAGGTGTAGAAAGAGTCCCGTACCAAATTACTGTGTTCTCTTCAACAGCCTAGATGAATATGTGAGAAATTATCTCACAAACTGCTTCGTGTGTGATCATAGATTTGTCAAAAGTATTCTAAAAGATTACTTCTCTACGATACCCCAAGATGATTTGAAAAACCTACTGCACTAGCAATCATATCCCAACCTTAGCCTCCCCCCCCCCCGGGTCATCAGTCATTTGTTCTTTATGGACGTTTTCTGACGTGCGATTGTAACACGGGCTCTAGGGTCCACGGCAAGCACGACACTGTCAACTCACTTCGTTTGGAATAAATGATGTTATGTACAATTAAAAAAAAAAAAATAAATGGGAAAAGATGGATAGCGGAGCGAAAGATAGGAATACATATAGGTAGTCTGATGAAATCGATCGAGGGTTACGTGACTCGAATGAATTGATTGTTGCTACTTAATACCCGCAGATGTGCAGTGCTGGAAATTTTATCGATTGTGATAGTCGCAAGCTGACGCGGAGGGAATAAAAGCCTCTCGAACGAGTTCGAAGTTGATATGAGTTCGAAGGCTTCGAGGGTTGCGTCTCGCATCATTCTATTAATCCGTATCCAGGGATAGCTGAGTCAGTGATCGTTTCCCTCTGCCTCATTGAATCGCAACGAGAAATCTCCCCTCCTTCTCGCTCAAAGACAGTTCCATCATAGGTGCACCCCCAGATGG